TTGAAGTCTCAGCTGTTATTTAAGATTTTAAGCCTTAGTTTCCTCAATAGTGAAATGAGGACAATACCCAACTCATGGGCTAAAGTGTTAAATAGTGGACATATGATACCTAATAAAGCTGGGAGAGGTGGTACAATCCTGTAATCCCTGTGATTTGGAAAGCTGAGGCAGGATAGCAAGTTCAGGCCAGTCTCAGCAACTTAGTGAGGTCCTAAGCAACTTAGAAAGACTCTGTCTCTAAATAAAGAAAAAGGACTGGGAGGCTGGAGATACAGCTCAGTTGGTAGAGTCCTTGCCTCACATGCATAAGGCCCTGGGTTCAATCCCCAGCCCCCGCCCCTCCCCAAAAAAAGGAGTGGGGATGTGGCTTAGTGGTAAAGTGCCTGTGGGTTCAAGCTCCATTACTTAAAAAAATACCTAATACATAGAATATGCTCAATAAACATCAGCAATTTTTTCTATATTATTTTCTCTAATATAAACTTGACATTGTGATTACTAAAGCCTTGGTGGTCTTATACATTTTGTATAGGCTATATATGGGTATGTGTATAACTAGAATACATAATTAGTTACATATGTGATATTGATATATATGTATAATTTTACCACTTTCTCAGGAAGAGCCTCAGATCTATCTTGCTGCTATAATTTTATTATATTCTCCTATAATTATGTTTATTGACTTTTTATTCCTATGTATTAGAAATACATTTTTTTCACATTATGTTTTCTTCTCCCCCACATTTATGTTTATTAAAAATTGACAAAACCTGTACAAAAAATATCCCATCATTTATCACTTTGAAATAGTAATCTTGCTGGTTATGGTGGTGCACACCTGTAATCCCAGTGTCTTGGGAGGTGGATGCAGAAGGATCATGAGCTCAAAGCCAGCCTCAGCAATTTAGCAAGGCCCTAAGCAACATATTGAGACCCTGTCTCTAAATAAAATATTTTTTTATATTTTATTTTTTAGTTGTAGTTGAACACAATACCTTTATTTTATTTATTTTTATGTGGTGCCAAGGATCAAACCCAGGGCCTCGCAAATGCTAGGTGAGCACTCTGTCGCTGAGCCACAACCCCAACCCCAATAAAATATTTTTTAAAAGGGCTGGAAAGCCAGGCATGGTGGCATATGCCTGTAATCCCAGCGGCTTTGGAGGCTGAGGCAGGAGGATCGTGAGTTCAAAGCCAGCCTCAGCAATTTAGGAAAGCCCTAAGCAACTCAGTTGTCTAGATAAAATAAAATAAAATAAAAGGCTGAGGATGTGGCTCATTGTTTATATGCCCCTGGGTTCAATCACTGGACCAAAAAAACAAAAATCATGAAATAATAACCTTGAGAGACACTTGTCTTTTCCTCTAACTTAGCCTTGGCCTCTTCCTGCAAATTTCCTTTTTCTTAAATCTCACCTTTGATCCAATATGTACAGGTAGTGTATTCAGAGATAAGTTGTCAGGTAGAATAAAATATCAAAATAAAATATCAAATAACAAATACTCAATGTTTCCAGCTGCACAGTCTTTTTTTCCAGTGCTGGGGATTGAACCCAGGGCCTTGGACAGAGATAGGGAAGCACCCCACCACTGAGCCAGTTCCCCAGCCCAGGTTCTCTGTTCCTCAGGGTCATTTTCACAGCTTGAAGATGTATATTCATGCTGACATCTACACCTATAATTGTTCCATGATACTGTGTTCCATTCTTCAATTCAGTGATTATGGTTTTATGACTCAGTTTCTTTTTTTAAATTTTGTTTTTATTATTTATTATTTTTAGTTATACATGACAGTAGAATGTATTTTGACATTATACATACATGGAGTATAACTTCCCATTTTTGTGGCATAATCATATATGAATATAGGAAAGTTATGTCAGATTCATTCTCCTGTCTTTCCTATTCCCATCCTTTTTCCCTTCCCTTCCTTTCTCTTTCTCTAATCCAATGAACTTCTATTCTTCCTTCCCTGCCCCTTATTGTGTGTTAGCATCCACATATCAGACAGAACATTCGGGCTTTGTTTTTGGGGCGATTGGCTTATTTCACTTAGCATGATGTTTATGACTCAATTTCGTCAAAAATCTCCCAAGCTTCATTCTAGCAGAGCTATCACCCTTGACACTGTCTTCTGTCTTCCCCGCGTCCATGAAATTTGCTTTCTGTGCCTTCCTGCTCAGGAGACTCTAAATTGATACCGGTTAGGAAATAGCGCCCTCTGGCATTCATCTTGTGTCAGTTCAAGAGATCATATTCCATTTCTATGGTCTGTGGTCCCTGCCTAAGGCCTGTGAACAGAAATCCTCAGTCCCAGAACACTGAGGCTGTTAAAACTGTAGGCTTCACAATACAAAATCTATAGCTATTATAAAAAGTCCTTGTCCCTGAATTTTCAAAGGTACCACACAGGTATTTATATTAGCACAAAGGTTAGTATTCAAAAAAGAGTCTCCTAAAAAAATAGCACAAGGATCCGGGACCCAGGAATCTAGGTCTACATATCCACTGTTACTGTGTGGTCTTGGGAAAGTCCTTCTCTTGGTATAGCCTTCTTTTTCTAGACTAGAGCTGTGTTTCACAAAATACGGTTTTTTTTTGGGGGGGGGAGGTGCCAGGGATTGATATCAGGGGTACTCCAACACTGAGCCATATCACATCCCCAGCCCTGTTTTGTATTTTATTTAGAGACAGGGTCTCACTGAGTTGCTTAGCACCTCGATTTTGCTAAGGCTCACTTTGAACTCAGAATCCTCCTGCATCCACCTCCTGGGCCACTGAGATTACAGGTGTGTGCCACTGTGCCTGGCTACAAAATATGTTTTGTAGAATACTTCATTAATGTTGAGGCATCACATACATACAAGAGAAAGAAGGGAGGAGAGGCTACATTATTAAATAAACTTGGAAAATGAAGGCTAAGCAAAATAAAAGTGTTAATTTGTAGGACTGCTAGTATGTATCATGAGTTTACAAGGGCATGGCTCTAGTATCTCAATATTAGTTGGCAGCAGAACCTTTTTCTGGAAGAGCACCATGCAGTATTCTGCAACATTATAGTATTTTTTGTGTGTTCCTTTTTTTTTTTTTTTTTTTTTACACTGGGGATTGTACCCAGGGGCTCTTAAACACAGAGCCACATCCCCCACTTTTTAAAATTTTGAGACATAGTCTTTTGCTTTGAGCCTCACTAAATTGCTGAGGCTAGCAATCCTCCTGCCTCAGTAGCTGGAATTAAAGGTGTGCATCCCACACTGGATTAAATATAGCCTCTTAATAATAAGAATAGCAGGGCTGGGGACATAGCTCAGTTGGTAGAGTGCTTGCCTCAGGGGTGGAGACATAGCTCAGTTGGTAGAGTGCTTGCTTCACATGCCCAAGGCCTTGGGTTCAATTCCCATCACCAAAATAATAATAATAATAATAACAACAACAATGGTTTATTGAATGCTATAGATGCTAAGTGCTGTATATGCATTCCTTTATTTCATCCTCCAAAGAACCTAATGAGAGAATTTCTATTATTATCATCTCCATTTTTTTTTTTTTTTTTTTTTTGGTATTGGGGATTGAACTCAGGGGTACTGGACAACTGAGCCACATCCCCAGCCCTATTTTGTATTGTTTTAATTTAGAGACAGGATCTCACTGAGTTGCTTAGTGCTTCACCGTTATTGAGGCTGGCTTTGGACTTGCAATCCGACCTGTCTCAGCCTGCTGGATTACAGCCTGTGGAGTTGTCCCGGCCTATTATTCCCATTTTTTTAATGTATTACAATTCTTGTTACACATATAGAGCACAATTTTTCATATCTCTGGTTGTATACAAGTATGATCACCCCAATTCATGTCTTCATGCATGTATTTTGGATAATAATGATCATCACATTCCACCATCATTAGTAACCCCATGCCCCCTACCTTCAACTCCAACCCCCCTGCCCTATCTACAGTTCGTCTATTCCTCCCATGCTCCCCCTCCCTACCCCACTATGAGTCAGCCTCCTTATATCAGAGAAAACATTCAGCATTTGTTTTTTTGGGGATTGGCTAAGTTTACTTAGCATTATCTTCTCTAACTGCATCCATTTACCTGCAAATGCCATGATTTTATTTATTCTCTTTTATTGCTGAGTAATGTTCCATTGTGTATATATGCCACATTTTTATTATCCTTTGTCGTTTTCTCATCTTTTTCCTTTTCCTTTCTTTCTTCTTCCCTCCCCTTTTATTTAAAAATCTTTTTAGTTGTAGATGGACACAATACCTTTATTATATTTATTTTTATGTGGTGCAGAGGATCAAACCCAGTGCTTCACATGTGCTCTACCACTGAGCCACAACCCCAGCCCCTTTACCTCCCTTTTTATGATGTAAGGGAGGAATACGAGTCTCTCTTTGTGTGAAAATCAATATATTTCTGCTTCAAAATTTCTTCTCTTAATTTTCACTATAGTAACAAGTCAAACAAATCACGATGTAAAATTCTAGTTCTTACAAGATTTTTTTTTAATCGTCTCAAAGGCCGAGCATTGCATTTGTAAACAGTTCAGTAAGTTACATGATGTTGCAATAAAAGTACTGTTAAGAAAAAATAAAAAAGAACACAGGAAATAAAATACGGTCAGTGTAATCAGCTTGTGCCGGCTGGGTCCCCAACAGGTTGTCCAGAACCTCACACATGGGCGTAGGAGGTGCCCGGTGGTGTCCCCGACCATAAGGCTTCCTGGCAGGAACCTCCCCGCGCCATGTCGCGCTCCCGCCAGAGACAAACAGAACCCGGCCGGGCCTGGGGCCCCACGCCGTGCTCCGCAGGCTTGCGGAGGTCAGAGTTCCCTCGCGCTGATCACTGGAGCGCTCGTGAGATGGCGCATCACCCGCGACGTCACACGGAAGTGGCCCTGGCGTCCGCGGGTTTCTCTAACCCCTGCATCTGAGGTGCGCCCAGGCGCCTGGGGCCGACCGCGGCGCCCGCCCGCCCGTCACGGCCTCGCCTCCCTCCGGCCCAGCGCGGGTCAGCGCCCTCGGTGACACCTGCCCTAGACGTCGCAGACGCCGCTCAGGACGCGTAAGTGCGGCAAGCGGCGCGGGCGGGGCCTCATCCCCATTTTAAAGATGAGGAAACTGAGTATAAGATTGAATTAGTTTAACTAAGGTCACAAAGCTACCCAAGTGACAGAACTGGGATTGAAGCCCAGGCTGTCTGCTGACAAAGCTAAAGTTACTTATGCTATACTTAGTATGAATTCTTGTCCAAACTAATACACTTCTGAGTCAAGACAGCTCTAAAAATAACTGCATAACTTCTAAAATTTTTATTTTGGACTAAATATTGATTTCTTTATGTTGGTATGAAAAATCCACCATCAAAAATACAATCCTTTCTTTTAAAAAAATGAAGATAACATCTGTTTTATTAAAGCAAAATTATATTTATATTGATTATCTGAACATTTAAACATAGCAAACGTAGTAGGGTGATTAGCCAGGTGTGGTGGTGCACACCTGTAATCCCACTGGCTTGGGAGGCTGAGGCAGGAGGATTTAGAATTCAAAGCCAACCTCAGCAAAAGTGGGATGCTAAGCAACTCAGTGAGACCTTGTCTCTAAATAAAATACAAAATAGGGTTGGCAATGGGGCTCAGTGGTTGAGTGCTCCTGAATTCAATCCCTGGTACCAAAGGGGAAAAAATCAGTTAGGTGGAATACACATCTGCATTTTCCATGTTCATTGTAGCACTCTTCATGTTCATTGTAGCCAAACAATGTGTATATCAGATAACTGTATGAATGTTTATGTTCTAAAATATCATTTCTTTATGGTGAAAACATTGAAACTCCTTTCTTCCAGCTTTTCGAAATGTATAGCACATTATTGTTATTTATACTCACCCTACTGCACAATACCATACCAGAATATCTTTTTAAAATCTTATTTTGAAACAGTGTCTCCCTAAATTGCACAAAATGACCTTGAACTTCAACCCTCCTAAGTAGCTGAGATTACAGGTGTGTGCCACTGTGCTGGCCATCTTTTTATTGTAAGTGTATTTTAGTTATACATAATGGCAGGGTTAATTTTGATATTACTATACATGCATGAAATATAATTTGGTTCCAATTTATTCTCCAATATTTCCCCTTTCCCTCTCTTCTTCCTTCCCTTCCCATCTCCCTTTCCCTGTTCCTTTTCCTCTACTTGCTTTGATTTGTATAGTGTTTTTTTCTAAATTAAAACTTCTTGCTTCTAACTGTAATTTAGTACCTATTGATTAACCTTTTCCCATTCCTCCCTCCCTGCTACTGTCCCTAGATGCTGGTAACCACCATTCTACTCTTTTTTTTTTTTTTTTTTTTTTGAGAGAGTGAGAGAGAGAGGGGGACAGAGAGAGAGAGAGAATTTTAACATTTATTTATTTTTTCTTAGTGGAAAAAATATCTTTTTTTAAATTTTATTTTTTATGTAGTGCTGAGGATCGAACCCGGGCCGCACGCATGCTAGGCGAGCGCGCTACCGCTTGAGCCACATCCCCAGCCCCACCATTCTACTCTTAACTTCTATGAGATCAACTATTTTAAGTGCCACATATGAGTGAGATTATGTGGTACTTGTCTTTCTGCCCCTAGCTTCTTTCTTTTTGTGGAGGTAGGGGGTAGGGGGTACTGGGGATTAAACTCAGGGGTACTTGACCACTGAGCCACATCTCCAGCTCTATTTATTTTTTTTATTTTATTTTATTTTACATTTTTGGTACCAGGGATTGAACCCAGGGGTGCTTAACCACTGGCCCCATCTCTAGCCTCTTTATTTATTTTTTTTTTTTTTTGAAACAGGGTCTTACTAAGTTGCTTAGGGCCTCACTAAATTGCTGAGGCAGCTTTGGACTTGCAATCCTCCTACCTTAGCCTCCTTAGCCACTTGATTTATAGGTGTGTGCCACCCCTCCTGGCCTTGAGTATATTCTTAAAATATCCAGTACCTTCTGATGTAAATCCTTATGCTTGTCCAACAGATTGTGTCTTTTGTTTTTTGTATGGTCAATTATAGCACTATGGCCACCACAGGTAGTAAATATCAAATAACATTTGTATGAGTTACATGCACATCATGACATTTGATATCTACATTTCCAGCAAACAGGTACTTTCATTTATTTGTGTTCATTACTACTCATGCTACTGGGTAGCACCAATACCTGCCCAGATTGGAAGAGTCTAGGATACACCATGTTGCTCCAGAAATATCTGGAGTCAAATAAGTTAGAAAAATAGGCTTATTCAAAGCCAGCTTTGCAGAAAGAGAGAAGACACTATTGTTTCAAAATTTCTATATTCAAAATCTCTGAAGGTGAGCAAAGTTTTTAAAAGAGAAGAGGTGGCAAAAAGAAAAAGGCAGAAAATACACATATGCTGATTTCATTAGAGTGTACTAATAGGCCTGCAAAGGGAGCAATCTCCATTTTAAGCTTCCTTGGTGCCTTTGAGGCCATGACTAGGGCAGCCCTTCAGCTTCCATTCTAGGCAGGAGGAAGTTGCTCTCAATTTCAGAGGGAGGCCTGTAACTAAAATGGCTCATTGCAATTTTTTAAAAAAACATTAACAACCAATAAAACAATGGGCCTGGGATGTGGCTCAGTGGTAGAGCACTTGCCTAGCATGTGTGAGAGACACTGGGTTCGATTCTCAGCACCACATATAAATAAACAATAAAATAAAGGTATTGTGTGCATCTACAACTAAAAAAAATAAATAAATAAAACAGTTTTGCATTTATGCCATGTATAAATTACACAACCACTGTTGCAAGAATGCTAAGACTGTTCTATCTACTCTGGCAAAGCTCTTCAGCCTGTTTCCCACACATATTTCATGTACACCTGACCTACTGACACTGCTAATTGCTGGCTTGATAGCTTCTGAAATTAATATATGGAATTCACAGGCCAGGGAAACACTGACTTGTATATGTCAAGTAGCAGTTGGATGATGTCAAAAACTTCTCCCACCACTACCTGGGATTTGCCAGCTGTCCCCATGTGTATTGGGGCTCATTTCCTGTCATCAGGGAGCTCCTTGCCTGAATTTCTTGATGGAGAGGTTAATTATGTTCTATCCAGACAGGGTTAGAAAAAGGGATGGATAATCCACTGGTTGAGTTTCAGATTTAATTATGTGAGAATTAAAGGAAGAACTCCAGAAATGGAATGTTCAAAGTGGCATTCTACCAAACCTAAACCAAATTATTTTAATGCAACTGTTTTTTTTTTGTTGTTGTTTTCTTTTGTTTGTAGCACTGGGGAGGGAACCCAGAGCCTTGTATATGCTAGGCAAATGTAACTGAGTTATATCTCCCGCCCTAATGCAACTATTAATACTGATATTTAGTTCAAAAATGAAAAAATGTGGGGCTGGGGTTGTGGCTCAGTGGTAGAGTGCTCATCTAGCATGTGCTAGGCCCTGGGTTCAATCCTCAGCATCACATAAAAATAAATAAAAATAGGGCTGGGGATGTGGCTCAAGCGGTAGCGCGCTCTCCTGGCGTGCGTGCGGCCCGGGTTCGATCCTCAGCACCACATACCAACAAAGATGTTGTGTCCGCCGAAAACTAAAAAATAAATATTAAAATTCTCAAAAAAAAAATTAAAAAAAATAAAAAAAATAAAGGTATTGTGTCCAACTACAACTAAAAAATACTTTTAAAAAATGAAAAAAAAAAAAGTGAGACAAATGCTAAATTGGATGAGATGCAGGAGAATGGGTATAAACTGAGAGTGTCCAGGCAAAGTTGGTTTTACTACTTCTGACTGGATTATCATTTGTGATTTTTGTTTGTTTGTTTGTTTGTTTTCCAGTACTGAGTATTGATCCCAGAGATGCTTTACTGCTAACTACATCCATAGTCCTTTTTTTTAAATTTTGAGATAGGGTTTTGTAAGTTGCTGAGGCTGGCCTGGAAATTGATATCCTCCTGTCTCAGCCTCCTGAGTCACTGGGATTACAGATGTGTTTCACTATGCCTGGCTAACATTTATTATTTAATCCTGGGAATGTGCTTTTAGAAAAAGTTTTACTACTTATTCAAAGGAGGATCTCAAGTTTAAGGCCAGCCTTATCAATGTAGCAGGACTTGTCTCAAATTTTTAAAAAAATAAAATTTAAAAGGGCTGGAAACTAGCTCAGTGGTATAACTCCCTGGCTTAAATCCCCAATATCACACACAAAAAAATTAAAAATTAAAATAAATGGGGCTGGGGCACGTCTCAGTGGCAGAAATCTTGCCTAACACATGAGAGACACTGGGTTCAACCCTTAGCAGAACATAACAAATAAAATAAAGACATTTTGTACATCTACAATTTTTTTTAAAATTAAACAACTTTTTTGAGGCATGCTTAACATAATAAACTACACATATTTCAAATATACAATCTGGTGAGTTTTGACATGTGTATATGAGGGAAATGAGTGTGCCTTGTGTTTACATTGAGCGATGGAAGTCATCTCTATCTACTTTAGCATTTGTAGCCCCCTGGTGTCATCCCTGGAAACGCACTAGGCTTTGGAGCAGGTTCCTGCTTGCATAAAGCACACCAGGTGAGTAGGCAGGCTGGAGAAAGACTTCAAAGCATCTCCCGCCAGTGGAGTCAGGGGCATCAACTTCACACATAAAGGACAGCACTTTATTGCTCTTTTCTCGAGAAGGCCATAATTAACCGGTAAGAACTGAATACTACTCTTGGCGCCAAAGCCAAGAATAAAGCAGCATCACACTGTAAAAACAAGCTGCAGTTAAAGCCGAGACCTCCAGGGGGAGAAAGCACCTGGAGGGATGCCTAGAAAAAGCTGCAAAGCCTTCGGAGTCACTAGCTCCAAGTACAATAGTCACTTCGCAGAGAAGGTCGCCTTGATCACTGGCAGCGACCTCGACCTCCCACAGCTTCAGCAGGCCCAGCAAAAGTACCAAGCGCAACAGACTCAAATGCCGGTGTTTCTCCCAGATCCACGAGTTCGTGTTCCCACAACCCTCACCCCAGTGCCCGAACGGGCGCCAGCCCCGCCCCATCCCCG